TCTTGCAATGACATAAGTCCAAGTGCATGACTATGACTTTTTGCTTCACTGTCACTTCCTGCATAGGCCTTGAGACAGCTGCAAAACTTCAACTCCCTGATGGCAGTGGTGGGGGGACTGAGTCACAGCTCCATCGCCAGACTTACCAAGACTGCCAGCCATCTTCCAGCAGAAATCAACAAGGTACATGTACTGAGAGCCTATAAGTTGAACTCTTGTGGCATAAGTGGCTAGTGATCCTACCTATGCTTTGCCCTTTTGGGTCAAATTCTGTGGATCCTGAGGGTTGGGCTTCAAAACCCAGCACAGGGATGGTATAAAGTATCATCAGTTTGGATGGTGACATTGGCAGCATCACTGTATACATCGTTGTCTCCAAGCTACAGACATTAGCCTCAAGCGTCAAAGCTTTGCATGTAAATGCAGAACCTAACACACTTGTCAAGAAGAGTTGGGGTTACCTTGAGTAATGAAAGTGACCATAGCAAAGCTGCACTGCTATTGAAAAAGCATTATGCTTTGTCTCAAGCATTACAGGCTTTGAGCTTTTTAGAAAGGAAAAAGGAGGAACATTGTCCCCAAGTACAGTAGGGGCATCCCAATTTAAACAATTGGTATTGGTACTAGTATTCTACACCAAATATACTGACAGTAAAATACAGTCTGACACAGATGCTTGTGTTATTTTACTTTGATTGACACATGCAACATCAGAGATTATGACTCCCATGGCATTTTATTCCCACCCAGCATTGTGGTTACTGCACATTCATATTCATTGTACTGTCTGTCTATTGTCTCTCTTGAATACTTCAAGAAACCATGCATTTACTCTGATATAGATAGGTTCTTTCTATTGAGACACTTTTCTATGTTGAAACTCCTACCATAGAGTTCAAAATACAAAAAAAGTGGACATGCTATTGTTGTGTCACTATTTGCACGATCAATGCAATATTTAAGCTCTTTCAATTTCTGTAACTCAACCCACCATTAGATGTCTATGAGAACAAGTTATTCAGCAATATGCAGTACAATTTGATGACATAGAAGGCAGCTGAAGACAGCATTTGAAGACAGTTGAATATTGCATGACACATGCATGACTTTCCCAGTTTGCAATTGTATGACAATTGTACATGTACAGTACAACACATGTGTCTGGTCCATTGTGTGCAGGTTTTACATCAGAAATACAGGTGGTATTTTGAGCCACATGCAACGAGTTATTTTCCAATATGGTGTTAAATGGTTTAGCCTTCAACAACACCTTGCAGGCAAATGCACATCTTCACAAATTAAGCAGACAGCTCGGGTACCACTATTATCTCCTACAACATATGAAGGATGCTTTGCTCCTATGCACACCCAACCACAGGACTGATTATGTTCTTGAAAGCTTCTCTGACGTGCATGCACGTGGCTTTATCTACCTGTGTCTAGGTGTCATTTCAGGTCTTCCTTTCATTACTCTGTGAAGGAGTTCAGTGACATCCAATGGAGTATTTTAATTAGTAGTTTCCGCCTCCATAGGTTCACATCTCAATATTGTATTGTACTTTGGCATGTCGTCTATTAGATTGTTCAAATTCTCTTTCAAAATTGCTGTGACTAGTAATGATTTTCTGTCCTGTAGAAGCATTGTTACAGGTCCCAATGTTTCCATGAAGCATTCATTTGGGTCAATACCTACACTGCACAGCTGGCAATTAACTCCTACATACATTTCTTAAAAGCACCGTCACTGCTCTTGTGGCTAGCTTTTAATAACGGTCATGGGTACAAAAAAAGAAACTCTTTTGTATCAAAAGATCAGGGCTCAAAAAATATTGGATGCATGTGTACCTTAGTGCACCCAAATTTGGAGCTGTGCACCTAATTCGTTTCTGCACCAAATATTTTTGTAGGTATTTTGTACATTTCAAATGTATAATAGTATACAGGATATCCTTGGCATCTAAGTGTCAGAAAAATAATAAAATCTTTGTTGTAGTACTTGTTGAAGATTTTCAATGCAGCTCCCATTTTAGATTCAAGCTTAGAAGAGGAGCAGTAAGATCTTTGTATTAGGTTTCGTTTTGTATGGTGCACCCCAACAATTTTTTGTGCACCCAATTTTTTAGGTCGGGTGCACCAGTGCATCTATTCCCAAAAATGAATTTCAAGCCATGAAAGATACAGTGAAACAAAATCTTGAGTGCCATTTGGCACTCCTATGAATGCTGTTGACTTGATTGTAACATAAGGCCTATCAAAGTGCAGAAATGTACCAAACTGTGTTCAGGCCAAATGATGACCAGTTATCAATTTGTTTGTAAGAAAGCCAGTTAAAGATGTAGCCTCTCTGGATGCAAAAGTTTCAGCAGATGAAACTGTAAACATGAAGTCATGCCAAGTGGTTGAGGTGTGAACATCCTGGAGGGCACAGCATAGGCACAGTCCCTGTACAACAGCTGTGTGGCCAATTAACTATAAAAGGAATGGCTTCGTTGGTGAGGCCATGCTTGACTAAGGAATAGTGATTCCTTTGTATGCGGTGGGTGCAAGGTCTGATGATTAGCTTTTCAAGAACTGTTGATAATAAGAATAGTTACTGTTGCTTAGGGGGCTTGGGGGGAACTTTAAGGCAACACAGTGGGTAAGGTATAGTTCGACACCAATCCCCAATACAATACAATCTAAGGCTAAAAAAAGAATGTCTGTCAACCTTTTTTGTGTGCATTTGAGAAATGTTCGACAGCTTCTGTTACATATACTCTCACTGTGTAGGGTGATAAGAGTTCCACTGTGGCCCTGGGCTACCTGAAAAAAACAGCCTGGGAAAATAGATAACTGTAAGCAGATGTAAATGTCAGTGTTTTTGCAACATTTAACGCTCTTTCCTAGTGCTGTATTGTATTTTTCAACAGTCGCAGGAGAAAGAGAATGGGCTTGATCCTTGCATCTGGTAGAGATTGGAATAAATAAAGTGAAATGAATGAGTGATTTGTTTTTCTTTGTTTCAGGCTCTGCATGAGATGACTGAAATGTTGTCATCCAATGGTAACTTTGCAAACTACAGAAAGCAGCTCAGCGAGTGTAAAGGCTTCAAAATTCCCATCCTGTAAGTAAAGCCTGATCAAAATCTTGTATGAGATACCTACATGTACATATGAGATATAAGATACTGTAAAAGTTTGTGTCAATTAGATTGGTGGGTCGGCAAAATTTCATCAGATTACATGTATCTGTTTACAGATAAATGTAGGTCTCATTTCTGATAATCATCTGCGTGTCTGGATATCTACGTCTACATTTATAATGTTGTGATGTAACAGTCTAACAGTCCTGTTTCTTCTATTTCATGTTGCTGATCTACAAAAGAGGTAAGCTATGCTATATTTTTTATCATAGTTGCTCCTATAAAGATTGATAATAACTATAATTGCGATTCTGCCCTTAGACTGCCACAGTAAGGAAGATTGAAGTAAAGCTTTATCAAGGCCTGGATATAGGAAGTTGGCACACCTCTGATTACTGATTACTGTAAGCTATTGAATAAAACCACCAAGACTGAAATAGATACTTAACAACTAGGTTGACATGACACAGACTACATTTATACATATGTATATACAGGTACAGTCAAATTTGTGTAAATCTGCCTGATACAATTTTAGTTGGTGGGAAAATAGCAAAATTGTCCATTTCCTCAATTAGCAGGCACTAGAGGCTGAAAAGTATTTTTGGACCTAAAATGACCAATTAGAGCTGAGGACACATTACAGGGATGAGAAGTGGTAGTGGGTTCTACAGCTTTGTTTTCAGCACCAGAGACAGGATGTGATTGGTTACAGAGACAAATGTTCAGGGCTCTCCCCTGGTCTAACTATCTGCTGCAGGACAATCATAGTAATAGTTGGGCTTTACCTTCAAACAGCATGTGGGTGTTGTGTGGGAAGTATGTCGGATATGGAAAATATTATTTCCTGTCAACTGATGTACAGAGGGGCAGCCTTCATCCTCCCATTGGAGTGACAGCTCACAAGGCCATACCAATTGAATTTATGGTATCTTTAATTTGGAAATGGTGCTAAAAGGAATATCAGCAATAGTCTGAGGGGGTAGACTACCAACAGGGAGTAGTTATAGCCAGATTTCACTTTGTCTTCATGTTGATACAGTGAAATTTCTACAATTTAGTTAAAATGTCTGGGAACCGTGTAAGTGATTTCATGTGGCCTTCATGTACCATGTGGGTGCTGTGTGGGAGTAGTGCTGCCTAAAGGATATTGAAAATGTTATCATTTTGTCTCAAATGATGTAGAGTGGGTCACCCTTCCTCCTCCCAGGTATCAGAGTGACTGCTCACAGCATGGGGATTTTTGTACCGTAGGGCCACAGCAAGTAAATTTTAGGGATCTGCAATCATGATGACTTTTGCCTGCTTTTGAGATAGAAAAAGAAATGGCATTCTCTTCTAGTATTGCTTTGAGTATAGTTGTAGAAGAGAAACCAGTGTGGTGGCATTGACTGTTGTAGTAATACTAGGCTAGAAATGTAGCTACCACACTAGTGTCGCTTTTTGCATTCGTAGAATATGGAAATAAAAGACTTGGATGGGATGCACTTAGAATGTTTATGGTCTCCATCTTGTATTTTCTTTATACTCTTGCATTATACTTGCTGTCTGCACCTAGGATGTCATCCATAAAATGTAATTGCTGTGGCCTACCTGTATCATCAGAGCTCTGTACACCTGATTACGACAGCTGTTACATAAGGATGAGAAAAACGTCACGATTACAGGCCCTGTAGAAATCACCATAGCAATGTGTGCAAACACAGATAGATGTATCAGTGAGAATAGCATTCAATCATAGGTCTTGCCTCACAGCTATTGCGCATTGAAAGTACTGACATCGAAATTCTCTTATCTAATATAACTTCACACCAAGGGAGGCTGGTATTGCCTGCCAACTCCAATTAACGTATGGGGATAGTATTCAGATGCTTCTTAATTTAAAAGTCAAAAATTAAAGCCTGATTCTGCTTGTGCAGCCATGGGTTGACGGTATATACAATGTTCCAGGTGTACATTTAAAGGACTTGATTGCGCTCCACACTGCTTTACATGACAAAGTGGAGAATGGACTGCTCAATGTTAGGAAGATGGCTCAGCTGGCTGTTGTGTTTAATGAACTCATCCAACTGCAGAGTACGAGTCCTGACATCGAAGCCAACATGGACCTTATCAACACGCTCAAGGTGCGTTTGCATTGATGATGTTACTAACACATTCACTATCCGGTTTATTGTCTGCTGTTCCCAGTCTCTTTGGGATTACATCATTGCTTGCATGCAGTTGTCGAAGCTTGATGGCAATACACCAGGTGCCTATGTCATGTGGATATGTACTGTGCAGAGGTGTTATAAATAGTGCTGTATGTAATATAATACAGGTGTTACATACACTGTATGTAGTTAATTTACTTGTTTAATATTGTAAGTTGATGTTAGAAATTTTCATTCTACATCTAGTAATGTACATGTATTGTCTTTTTCACAAGAGCTAGCCATTTGCAATAGCCACCTGCTAGATTGGTGGTCCTGGCTGTAGGTTTATGAAGCAGCAGAATAAACAGTCATATATATGTAGCATTTGTGAAGCCATGTGGGCAGCTAATGATTTACACAGATTTCTATGGCTTGTTGGTCCCTGATGATAATACCTTGCATTCAAAGTTTTTCTTTCAGCTTGGAATCAATCATAGTACCTTACCGCTTAATAATCATACTACATGTAGTTTCTATCTAAATGTGTCTTATCTTGAATAGCTTCAAACTTCTTTTGAGCAAAGTGGTTGCTCTATACTGAGGCACTTGTTAAGGGACCACAACTGCAATTACTGCTCCTGAAACTGACATAAGCTCCAGCCCAGTGAGTTAAAAGGCATTGGTGCAAGTAATACAATGTTCATCCACTCTGCATCACTTTTGGATGGCATTTCAGCACCATAAACAGAGAAGTTCCTTTTTAAAACCCTGTTACAGCTGGTTGTGGGTTGAAAATAATTGGTTAGATCATTGACAAACCAAACAAGAGGAAAACAGAATGATATTGTTGATGATTTTCTGATAAAGAATAAGCAATGCTGTTTCATTTCTGAACAACGAAACTTAATTTGTAACATTGTAAAGCTGACTGTACGATGGCTTTAAGGTTAACATACATATAAGACTAGATTATTGTTGAGCCAAACAAGATGTCAACAATGTTTTCCTATTTGAAGTATTTCCTTTTAATGGATTTCAGTACAAAATTGGAGCCATAGCTCCTGTTATATTTTATGCCTGCCCTGCAGCAGTTGAACTTTAGGCAATGAAAGACAAATTCCAAACCGATATTTCCCTCCCACATATGGTGAATTTGTTTGGTTTTATTCTATTTTAAAGATGAATCAGTATTAAAGGCATTACTTACGACAGTGCACCACAGTGAAAATGTCACGACACGGGCTGACCCCTCACCTAGCACAGATCCTGGAGCTCACACGCATTGTGCACCAGCCGTGAATGATTGCATTTCTATATCCGAGGTATTTCTCAGATATTGCTCGCCCACGTAAACCTTGAAAGCACGTCAAATAATGGGAGCAAATCTAACATTTACACTAACCCTTGACATTCATGGATGACTTTCAAAATATTCGGCAGCAAGTGCAGGGGAATACGATTGATAGGCATTGTTTTATACAGGACAAGAACATGGTCTGATGTGCTTTTAGGGAATCAAAGGAGGGATTGTTAAGTACTTACTTGAACTGTTAACAGCCAGGAATGCAAAATCTATAAGGTTATAAAAAGATTTGTAAAAACTTACATGTACCTGATGCACTTTGAAGGAAATTAAAACAGCACAACATTCTGTGTTTGAAGGATTTTAGCAATAATACTACCGGTACTGATCTCTCTTTCTCAGTTTGGGACTCAGTACTTCCTTCCTGCTGCAATGATGATGTTAGATCTAAGGAGAGATTAGAATTGCAATCTCCTGAAGGGCAAATTGGAATTGCAGTCTCCCCTAGGACAATATTCTAGATTGTCCTGGATTCCAATCTCCCCTGTGACAGATACATGTATATCAAGCCTATACTGTATTATGATTACATGCAGGTATCATTAGACTTGCAGTATTCAGAGGAAGAGATCTATGAACTGTCACTTGCCAGAGAGCCAAGGGAGTCTGCATCTGCTGTGAGTACTGGTGGAACATACCTTTATTCTACAAGGAGGGGGGGGATTAAACACTTCTACCAAAATATTGAACAACAAAACAAAACATTAACAAAAGGTGAAACTTACTTGCATAACGCATTGCACATTCATGCCTAGCATCTAGAGGCCTGCGGGCAAGGGATTAATTTGGTGTGGTTCTCTATGTTCTGACAACTCAACAAGCCAGACTCAACCTCTAGACAGAGGTGGCATCAATGCCAAAAATGTCCGTCTGGCACAGTATCAATACAGCACCAATCCAGCATTACGCATCTTCAGTATGTAGTGTGTACAGCAAGCTGTTGATTCAAAACTATCCCTTAATTTTATCCGTAGCCTCCTACACCCATCCCGAGTGAGAAGCCAGTGTTTGCAGACTGGGCCTCGGGGATCACTCCAACACTCGACTCGGACACTCTGAAGAAACATGTCCATGCCATGGTGGAGGTAGGGATGTTATGTTTTTTTGTTGTTGTTGACGGAGAGGAGGGTGGGGAAAGATGCAGCAGCCGTATCACTTAACATTCTCCGTAGTCTTGTCTGGCAGTCCTTCACACTCAAAGATTGGACTGTCAGTATCCTCATTCATGGAGGGTGTGACCTCATGTGGCCTAGTCCTGTAACCAAATTACAAATTTGGTACCAAAAGTAGGGAGAAGGTTAAAAGACATAAAACCTAAATTTGCTGGTTCATGACATACTTTTAGAATGCAGTAATTTTGTAGATGCACCCTATAATGTGACACTGTTTTGTGGTCTGTGGAGCAGTGTTCTGAACTGGAAAAAAATGATATTAAGCCCTGTACATAATAGCCAAATGCTGCAGTGATAAATATAGATGAAAATAAATGGAAGTAACAATACGACACAACAGGAAAAGTGTGACCCTGCTATAGTATTATGCTATTGTCAATACATCACTGGCAAAAATCATAAATGCTTCTTTGTGGCAGAAAGAATACATTGTATACTGTGTGATATGAACCGAAGTTAGAAAAAAGACAGCATCGTAATAGTGCTTTTGTTGATTTTTGACACACAAGTTGACTTTGTAATGACTGGCATTTACAACAAGAAGGCTGCCTTCAGTAAAATTCAGTGCCTTATAATCCACAAATCTGAATTGACCTAAGAAATGGAACTTTGCCGGTTGTTACTTTTGTGATTGAGATGTTATTTTTTGATTGACATGAAGTGTCAACTTGATGATATGTTGTGGGGTAACAAACTTGTGACAACTAACATATTTTATCTAACAGCCTCCTGAACAATCTCACAGTACTGTAGATTTCTGGTTTGCACGTACAATGTATCTAAGGTTTCTGAACTGCGCAAGAAAAAAATAGTTTTGAAAATCACAACCTAACCATCCATGTACAGTTGCGTTTATGCTTCATGTTTTATCTCTCAACCCATATTTTTCAGGCTGTCTACAAAAACTATGACCATGACAGAGACGGGTATATCTCTCATCAAGAGTTTGACTCCATCGCTGGAAATTTTCCCTTTATCGACTCTTTTGGGATCCTGGATGCAGACCAGTGAGTAGTGTCGTCGCATATTTACTTCCATCTATTAATCAAACTTGTAAGCAAAAATCATAAAAGCAACTGAATCCCCTGATCACATAAAGTTTTTTAGAAATAAAATAACAATCATATGATATATATAATAAGTTATCATCAATGAAGGAATCAACATGATTGATCAATTAATCAATAAAGTAGTCAATGAACAGATTGCTAACTGATGATAAAAATGGAAGAAAAAAAATCACATGCGAAAACTTTTCATGCAAACAGATATTTGCAATTTGAATAGCCGTCTAATTAACCAGCCAACCAATCAATTAGCCAGTATAGCTGTAGTGCACAAATCACAAATCAGTGATGAATAACTTCCCCGTGTGAGTATCTATGTGCAGTCTTTTTGAAATGCTGATTAAAAGGTTTTTAGTTTTCTGATGATTTCACACAAAGCACACCATTGATTAATTGCTAGCTTTTGATTAATCATTGTCAGATCACCAGTTCAAATCATAAATTTTTGCAAAAAGGAAAAAAATTGAAGCATTTTCCTCCAAAGCCAGGCAGACTATTTTGACTTCTCTCCACTCCAGCTTTGCAAGGCAGTTGAAGAGATTTGATGAGGTTAAGCATGTGTATGTATCCCAACTTCAACAGTAATAGCTTTAATGAGACATTAATTACCACTGGCAGCATGCAATCTCCAAGCAGATGTTGGGGTGGAGGACGGTGACATTTTCTGAATGCCAGGCTTCACTGACAACCTGGATTTTCTGTCAGCAGAGAGTGGAGTCATGAACTAGACCATCTTCTACCCCAACATCTGCTTGGAGATAAGAGTCATCAGCTCCTGACATGTGAATAAGGCTGTTTGCTTCCATTACTGGACTTTTGTCTGACCTTCTTATAGAAATCTGGTACTTATGTCAGAAAATTCAATATCTGTTCTAGGTAAAACTGGTACTTTCGGATGTAGAAGAGACTGATACTTGATAGAATCACGCTTCAAAAAAGCAATTTCGATGCAGACCTTTTCTGACACAGAAACACAGAAATCTGGAATATCAGGAAACAATGTATAGCTGATAAAATCTCAGCTTTATCACATTCAGATGTACTGTACTTCAACAGTCAAATCCTGTTACAGTCATGGGCAGCCTAGGTCTCTTTTAGATGTCAGGAGCTCATGGCTGATATATTCTCCTGCTGCCAGTGTAAAAACATAAAAGTTTGGTGTGATAAAACAGTAAAGGTTTGCTGTGTGTAAATTGTGTGACCTCAGAGTGTTCAAGAGATTACACATTGCGTTACTAACAAATGTGTTTTTGTAAAAGTCAAATTGATCTGATCTACATCAGATTATTCCTTCACATTGTTGCATAGAAGATTAAAGACTGGGAGCTCTAAACTAGATAGTGCTAGTGAAATTTGAAGTTGAAACCTTTTCTTGTAGTTGATTTCTGCCCTAACCAGATAGATGAGTTCTGAAGTTGACATACTTCGGCAGAGTTACATCATGGCTTATGTTGTTGAGCCAGTGCCCCAAGACTGTCCAAGTAACACAAGGAACAGCATTTGAGACCTTTTGTAACCATTCAAAAGGGGCTGATTAGAATGCTTTCAGACACCCAAGGCTGCAAGTAATTGTGTCTGAATGCATTCAAACTGTCAACATTGCCTTCCGATTTCATGTGGCCTGGATTGCTTTTAGACTAAAATGAGAAAACTCCCATTTGGATGTGCCATTTCGGACAATTCTTAGCATCTTGACCTTTCTAGAAGTGAGAGACAATGGGCTAAATCTCTTTTGCCTCTGTCCCCAGACAAAATTTTGGACATAAATTTTGACCCTTTCATCCCCCTTGACAGTTAGAAATTGAAAACTTCATAACATTTTCATCAGGTCATTAACAGCGACACGAACCTTCCACAAAACCAAGATATAGCCATTTGAAATTCACCCCCAAAATACAGAAAATAGTTTTGGGCACTTGACATGCTCAGGGTGAGAGGATGGACAAAAATTTAAACTTGGATCTTTAAACTTGTGATCCTGTGCCACATCCTATAAATCAATGTCTGTCAGATCACTACAAACCCACTCTGCCAAGAAAGGCCTGGAAAGTATACATTACCAGGTATACGTTGAAAGCTATGATGTTCAGAAATGTGCAATGGTGCTGTCTATAAATTGATCCTTTCTTATTGGCCCCATCCCAGAGATGAAAGTTGTTTCTGTGCCCAGATGACAGAAAAAGAGAATCTTTCTTTTATCCCATGCTTTCCAGGAATAGCATGATCAGTTAGGAGATAAAATAGAAGTGATGATTAGTAAGGAGAGAATGAAATAGCAATAGAAAAGTGTAGGAAGATAAGAAACCATATATGGTTCAAGTGAAATTGGTTTGAATAAGAAGTCTTTTTTATACTTAAGTGGATGCCTCAAAAGAAAGATGGAAAGCAAGGTTAGCCTCATTAACAGGCTGGTGGGATGGGCATTTTTTGGGGCTTATTATGTGCTGTTTTCAGAAATCTTCTGACAGCCGCCACCTAAAAGCCTGCTTTAACTCAGCATCTCAAGGCAACGTGGGAGAAAAAATGCCTTTCAGAATCCCTTTGAATACACCTTGAGATCATTTGTATGTCTGAGACGAGTAATTTGCAACCATCCATATATTTGCCTGGCACGTACCACTGACTGCTGTCTTCCAGGATTTGGACATTTTACAGGCAATATACAAGAAGTTTGCACCTCCTTTCCAATTGTCCCTAAACAGTTCTTTAATTTTGATTTGAGACACTGAGTTGTAACAGGTTTTAATACAAGGTGTGAGGAATGAGTACAAGAAGAAGAGTGGAACAGTCCCTTCCTGTGTGTTCCAGGGATGGCATGATCAGCAAGGAGGAGATGAAGATGTACTTTATCAGAGCTAACTGCCACGCCCTGTCCAGCGGCTTCAGACATGACTTTGTGGAAACCACATACTTCAAACCCACCTACTGCGAGCACTGCTCAGGACTGGTATGTGCAAGTCTATTATTTATTAGTTTCCAGGGATTTTAAAATATGATTTTAGTAAGTAAATAAAATGAAAACAACAGTTAAGGAAAAATAAAAACAACAGAAGACTGATGGGAAAACATAAACCTTTATCTGAATGTTTTATTCCCTGGAACTGTCCAGCATTACGGATGTATTATCTAAGTTTTTACATTTAGTTAGGATGAATAGACAGTTGTAGCCTGGGATGTTTACTCACAGCCTGCGGTGTTTTTTGATGGTCTTTTGTTACATGCTACCAAATGTACCATATACGAGTAGCATAAAAGATTCATGTATGAAGTTTTGAATGGTCTCAGGTTCATGATCTTTCAGTCTAAACTGATGAGCAAAGGAAATTGAATTGAGATGTTTATAACGACATTGTCATTGAGAGGAATCTGACATGAATATGACCTGGCCCATGGGCAGAATGTTCAGAAGCACCTAATCATCATTGTTGTTACAATATATTATCATGATTGTTTTAAACATCATTTTCCTGTTATGATCATCATATTGAATGAAGGATTGAAGACTTAATTGTTAGCTTTGCCCCAACTGGCTTAGAAGAGGTTGTCTTGAACTAGAGCTATAACCATACACTGAAAATAAGATAGATATTTGATACACAATAAAAACAATGAATTAATGTGCAGGCACATTGTTTTCTAACAAATGTCTCTTCCTGTTGTTAACGTGATGCTCAGCTGTGGGGACTGATCAAGCAGGGCTGGAAGTGCCGAGACTGTACCATCAGCTGTCACAAGCACTGCAAGGAGCTGGTGGTGGTGGAGTGTCGGCCTCGGGGCAGTGTCTCGTCAGGTCCACAGTCCTCCAACACCTCCCTACTACAGGACACAGACACATCCAGGGGTCAGGAGTCTTCTTATTATTTGTGTTATCAGTATCACACTGATACATTGATTTTCAGACATTTTAAAGGAGGACTCTAGCAAGAGGATAACAGGGAAAAATGTGCTGGGAGAAAAACAATTGAATCTATGTTTACACCCTAAGACTGTGTGTATTGAGGTGTAGGCTAGATCCTGTGGCTCTGTTTTCATGATCTATCTCTTTTTGTTGCTTTTTTATTCAGCAACCTCTGCCGATGAACAGCCGTCCCCAAGGGGCACAGAGAGAAGACGACAGTCATCCAGACTTCGCTACCTCGCTCCCGTGCACCAGTCCACACAGACGGTCAAGGACAGCGGCATCTCCCTGATGGACAGCGCCTCCTCCGTTAACTTGAACCTGGAGTACAACGATGATGAGGTGTTTGTGGAGGAGGATGTCGGTAGCCTGAGGGAGAGGCTGAGGCAGTCTGAGGAGGTAAGAACTGACAGACAGGGCAGGCAGATACCTCGCTGACTACAGTGGTACTGCAAGTTCCTGTACTTCAGGGAAAAGGAGATTTAGGGGCATTTTGAATTTGTGATTGACACAATTCTGTTAAAGTACTAGTAATACATTAAAAACAATTCTGTAGTACATTGGAAATGCATATTCATGGTGTCATGAATAATGCGCCTTGAAGAGGACATAAAACTGTAAAAACACAATCACCTCAACTATTTCAAGAAAAACACAAAGTTTTGATCTGTTATTTCAAAAGATTGAGTAAGAAACATGAAATAAGACATTACTGTGGTGAGAAATGATAGGAAACCCTACAACTTTCTTTTCAGCACCAGGGACAGAGTGTACTTGATTAAGGATTCGATCATATGCAAGCAACTAAGAGACGGTCAAAGTCTTTGTGCTTAGAAGGAAAAGTAGGATCCTGACTAGATATTTACTATGATTCACACAGAAGGCCTTGACATAACTTGTGCCAATCTTGTGGCTAGTCCGTCGAATGCATCTCTGCAGAAAATTTGTAATGAGTGCTGTAGTCAGACCATCTATGGGCCACACCAAATACTTCAGAGTTCTTGAGGACCCTAAAAGCAACTTGAGAGGGACCTTATTCGCACAAAATTGGAATCATCTGGTGGTTAAAAATAGATATAGTGTTACTGCTGCTTTATTGAAGCTGTCAAGTTAATGCTGTTAATTTGTGAATTTGACATTACCTGAACCTCTTCCATAGATATAGAGAACACCTGAAATGCCCCAAATATATCAGCCCTATGCTGTAATACAAGAGTGAGTAATGGCCTGGTTGGACTTCTCATTCTTATGCATACTCACATTCCAAACTGTGTTTTGTTGAATGCAACTCCATTTCTGCTCCTGAGATACTCATGCGGGACAGGATTTTAGTTGACTATATATGTATTTGTACCTGCAGTCTAGAAAATTTTCTTCAAATTGCTAGGAGGCACGTACACATACTGTTCTGAGAATAGCAGCATTTACTGAATAGAAGTCGGAGTATAGAGATGTCAGAATCTACAGCCTTCTCTTCAAAGGGCACAGTTACATCATAATGTCTATGTACACTTGTACAACTCCATCAGCTCAAGTCAGGGATGAACAGATTCAGCGTTTTACATAACAGTCTCTCACGTTTCACAACAAGTGCAGCTGTTCATACAAGGCCTGATGCTGTAATGAGTAGGATACAGATGCCGAATGTCATATGTGAACATATGTAATGCACTTCATTGTTATGGGCCAGCATCTAGAATTATATTACACAATGTACTTGTTTATAGTTTCAGCCTGTTAGTTCTTAACTGTGTGCAATTTCCAATATACTCAGTGCAGCACTGCAATACATTCATCCTCAGTGCTGGTAGGGTCACACAGTATGGGTAAGGGGCTGAAGTCTGCCATCTCTGATTCCCAATTGTTTCTACAATGTTCCCTTACAGGCCCGGGCCAAGTTGGCTTCTGAGAACCAGACGCTCCAGACTGAGCTAGCGAGTGCGCACGATAGGATCAAGCTTCTGCAGTCACACATCGGACAGATCAGACAGCACACGGTCAGCTTCATCCTCGATCAGATGGACATTCTTAAAATGCAGAGGGACACAGAGGTCTAGGGAAGGTGCAGGGTGATACAAAGATTTAGGAAAGGTGCAGGGAAGGTACAGGGAAGGTACAGGGTGACACGAAAGTGTAGGGAAGGCTTCCGGGTGACATAGAGACTAAGGAAGGTTGTAGGGTGGCATAGAGGTCTAAAAAAAGTGCAAAGAGATACAGAGGACTGGGAAGACCACAGAGAGGGCATGCGAGCAATTACCTCAAGTCCTTTGTAAAAGTTCACTGGGAGAGACATATGTTGAATTTCTTGTCACCCTAGCCTTTTGTTTTGACTGGCCGTCAAGAAACCAAATGAGAAGGCTGGCCTGCAAAGTGGTGTTCCGTCATGCCTGACAGGTGTTCATGGAGCAACGTGACTGCCTCACCTGACTGTTTGGACTGAACCAGACTACTATTGCTGCATCCTCCAGATGTGTTGGTTTCAGCCCACCTTCTACAATGTACTTTCCCCAGGACACTTTATATTATATATATATACTAGTATATGATGTCATGAACATGTATGTGCTGAGGATCAATCATGTGAAGAAACGTGCTCTTGTCTGTCTTTAACATCAGGCATCACATTGGATTCTGAGATGACTGGACAACTGGGCATGACCTTGATACTGGACACACTTAATGTTTTGTAGATGTCTGATCTGTCTGCTTTACAGTGTCTTAAAGTTTGCTCATTGTGTCTATGGAGGTTGGACATAGATGAGGGTAGCCATGTCTGGGGTTCAGTATCCAGTATTTCATGTGTGTCTGAAGAGGCTTTATAGCTACCGGTAAGTGCTATACATGAACAAACCTCCATAAGGGCACACCATTTCATTTCCTTGGTTCTCTAAAATCTAAAATATAGGTAGAGGACATAATGAAGAGAGAGGACTGGGAAGAAAACTTGAATCTGTCTGTACCAGAGTTTACTCCCAGACTGCAGGGTGATATAAAGATTTAGGAAAGGTGCAGGGAAGGTACAGGGAAGGTACAGGGTGACACAGAAGTGTAGGGAAGGCTGATATTGTAGTTATTGTAGATGTTGATATTGTAGTTCACCATTGTGTTTTTGACATCCAAGAACCAACAAATCAAATTGGTGTGGCCTAAGCTACAAGAAGACAGAATACTTCCAATGTTTAGTAAAGCCAAGAAATAACAGGATAGGGAATCACAAAGAAGAGATGGCAGCTAAACTAAACCTCTCTGACTTCTTAGTAGTACTGATATCAAATGAAAGATTTCCTAGATATTTGATGGTACCTTCTAAATATACTCTTAACTGTTTCATAGTGTATTCTTTTCCTGTACATGTATTCAGTGTAATGTTTGTGACAATGAAAAAATGCTACCTTAATGCCTGTGTGTAGAATGTAAAAAAAAAGTAAATATGAATATGAAAACTCCAAAATTCTATTTAATAGCCCGCTTGGGGCTTGTATATAATATTTATCATATCCTTCTATTGTCTTTGTATTTTAACCTTGAACATGATTTGATAACATGTTGTGTTGAGTACACAAAAAGTTGTATAATAAAGTGACAGCCATGATAAAATGTTTAACGTATGCTTCATACAGTTTGTACATTTGGCATTCCCAGATTTTAAGTTCTATATTGGTGTGGCCTAACCTTCAACTGACTTACCAACCTAGTAATAAGGATAATAATCCACAAATGCTGATATATTTTGGGACCAACAGTTGAAGAAAGTCTTTGTCTTTGTAGATGTGATTTTTCTACAAATCGTGCTCAATACTTCAAAGCTGAAAATTCCCTGCCTCATATGGTCTCAGAGCTGGGTCCCAGCCTTGTATGTTGACTTTGTGGCTCCTGCAGTAGCATTTGGACCTATTTCAATTTCATCCCTCCTACCCATTCCATTATTTTCGTCAAAGCCAAGGAATTGGATCAATGTGGCCTTCAAGGATCAAATTTCAATGAGCAAATGTCAAATCTGTCAGTTTTTGTTTCGCATATGCCTCTAGAGATAGGAGGATTGACGCATATTTGCTCACAACCATCACAGTTAATTATTTTATCGTTTTTCCAAATGACAAGCCTAATGACATTCCCGTTGCAAGCATGAGTGAAGACCCTCTTTTTCACACTACATGTAGTCTGATCTGATTGGCACGTACAAGTAAAGATTCTCATGCTCTTCACTTTTAATGAGGTTGCACTGAGAAAACCATGTTCTGTACAGTGGCTCTCACACGGGGACTTACATGTACATGCCTTTCTCCTGTGAGGCATAATCAGCACGTATACCCCCCATGCAGTCCCCAGCCCTGTCAACAGCCAGGGTCATCAACCTGTCAACAGCCTCCAACTTGGCATTTATTCACTATGACAGAAATGACCTTCATGTACCAATCAGAGAACTACTAGTATTAAGATCTATTCTTCTTCTGATAAAAATCTCCATGGAATTTGAAGATGCACCAGAGCTAACTGCTGGCAGTTGGCTACCCGACTTCTATTCATTATTGACGAAGGTTACACCGTGGAATCATTGGCAGGAAATAATGTTCACTAGAGAACACTTTCTGTCAAACTATGGTGAAATTCAACACACATGCTAGATATAACGTCAGTGCCAATCCGTAGCAATTGTATTCTTTCTGCTGCAATAGATGATTGTATATATCATGTGTAACCGTGAAATTATAGCTAATATATTTTAACCAAGTATATGCATACTGCAATAACACTTAGATGTATTCTTTCTTACAGCACCGTGCGCTGAAAACTAATTTCTGCTTGTACATTGTTGATATAGCATGCTCTAGATATGTGCAATTATTTTCAATCAGTATATCTTGTTATGGAAACAATTGCTGTAGAGTCCATCAGAAATGAAAGGGTTTCTGTCACCTACAATAAATGTGTATATCCATGGAAAGTTACTAGTATTCTTGAGCCGTCCCTTTGTACAAAGTTTAACTAACCTAGGTATGTATGAGTACCAAGATGAATACATGTAGGTAGATATTAAGGTTGTTTCATGGATTGCCTAAATCCACCTTGGTATAGGGAAAGCTTTTCTGCTCTGGTCAAAATTTTGAGTGGACAGATGTTTATGTACACATGCAGTACTTAATTACTTAGTTTGTCTACAGACATGGGAGAAAGGGAACAATGACAGCCTGCCTCAGTACATACATGTACTATTACGTGTTTCGACTTTTGATCATTAGTTAGTAATACTATCTTACACATGAGATGTACTATTTGTATCACCATATATTAGATATTGGATTTCAATGCCACCAGGGTTGTGACATTGCAACTGCTCATTTTCAGAAGTGTATACATCATTGCCATTTTCTTACATTAACTATTGATGTGTTTTAAATTACTGTGTATTTTGGGGGGTAACGAACCAAAATTCTTTATTTTTTCATGTTCTCTGACTTTGAAGATGTGTATGACAACTTTGAGAGAAATAAAATGTGTCATGACATACAGATATCAAAGGCAACTACAAGAGTCATGTCTGATTCTTTTATTACTTTAAATGTAGCAAGAATTAGATGATTTAGTTTTGCTGTCTATGAATAACAGAGTTCTCCAATATAAGCTATCTATCAAATTTGGATAAATACATTTTATTTGCATACATATGCTTATCATAAAAAAGTACAAAAGACTTGCAGCAGGCATATGAAAACATTATAAGAAATTACTTAATAACCACACATTCACACCATTAAAACTCTTAAGTTGGACATAAACAGTTCATAAACTTAATATTTGATATAGCTGTACAATAACTTACATACTACACGACTAAACATACTCATTTTGTTCAAGAAAACATGTCTTTTGAGACATACATTGTAAATATTCATTTTCATGGTTTGGTAGACAACAATGTTCAGTTGCTGTGTTTGAAGAAAGTATCAAGTGTTGGATGGTCAATCTTTTGTCTCTTGGGGGGACGACCCCGTCTCTTGCCAGTGTTCTTGGCAGTACCTGCCGTGGCCCTGCTGGCATTAATGCCACTCCCATGAGACACGGCACTGATGCTGTTTGAAGTTTGTTGTTGCTGTAGCTCCATGGCGAAGTGGAAGTCTAAGTGTTCAGGAAGCTCCCAGGCTAGGACGTCTTCCCCACACTTCTCACATTTCATTACATCTTCTGCATCCACTTGCTGGCAGGAGGTGTCTTCTGTTACAGGCACACACCTGTCCACAAGCACAGTTGTGCAGCTGTGCCTGTCTGACTCTGGGCTTCCCTCCTGTGGTCCTTCTTTACTGGAATCTGAATTGCTAGCAGTGCAGTTAGCATCATCAGGTCCTGTCTTCTGAGTGTAACTTTTGACCTGAGTTTGTGGCTTATCAGAGGGATGACTATTACTGTTTGTGTTGACGGAACTTTTGTCACTGGCCTTCCCCTGCAATTCCTCCTGTCTATCATCAAAACTGTGTGCATTTGTCATGGATTGGACACTTCCTGACACAGAAGATGACTTTGCAGCAAAGAAACCAGTTTTCCTTGGTGACCCTTCTAACTGGGCTGTCAGGGGAATGCCTTCCCATCTGGACGTTCCATCTTGCTCTGTGCTTTGTTTAAACTGTGCCTGTCCTGTGCCAGCATTTGGGGTGGAGGTTTTTACCTGTACTGGTGTTCCTATTGTTGTTTTAATCTCCCTTTCCACTTGACTTGCAGCATTCTTGTGGCTCTGAGAAAAAAATGCTTGTATTCCAGATATCCTCTTCTCTTCCTTGGCTCCATGCTGTGCCCTTCTACTTGTTTCCTCTTTAGTTTGTTTACTCACACTTGAAAGTTGCGATGATTTGTTGTTCTGTGTCTTACTCAAGAAGGTAGCAATGTTGCCGCTGGCTGTACCACCCTCTTCAATGAACTTACTGGCATTGAGATGGAGGTTCATGATTGCTGGAGACCTAATGTGTAAAAAAAACTTTGATGACTTGAACTGACATGGTAAAATCGTAGCATAGACTAAATAGGCTCAAGAACACACATAATAGGTAACTATTTAAGCCACACTTCTAAGATCACATCCTTGTGATAGTTGTGAAGCTGAATTATCTTCTGACATAACTTAATTGGGCATGGTTAGCTCTAAGCAACTAGTGTTCAACTAGCATGGAAGTTCATCTGAGGTAGTAAATTACACATGGAAAAGTTTAACTGTTCTCCAACTCAAGAAAAAGGGGACTGGGGCAGTCGAAAATTCTGGTGAGTCCTATTTTCTTGAGTTCAACAGGACCAAGATGGAAGCAAAGAACACTGCTTGAAGAAAGAAAATCATGACTCTAGCTTACCATGCAGATTGATGGTTCCCTGCCACGTTGAACTGTTTGAGCAGGATGAAGGCATCCTTACACAGCTGGTCTGCCTCGTACCTATGGATGGCGCAGGAGCGGGAGGCAGAGGTGGAAGGGTTGCCGTCGTTACGGAAGCCAACCACCAGCAGCTTTGCCACACGGTTATTCTGTTGGAGCAAAAAAATTCACGTACTTGAACTGTAGTTACAGCATTGTCACACACTTCTCTATGGGGTAGAGGACACAATCATCACTAATGTTCATGCTTAAGTTATAAAGTCCTTTTATATGGTATGGTACAGCCCAAACCTTACCATCTCCCTGTCTTTTTGTAATCTCTCAGCCAGTTCTGAAGACAGCTGAGACAGCCAATGAAGGACCTGCAATACATGAAAACATAGTCTTTAGACCTTTAGATGTATATATGGAGAACTTGAAGGATCTGAACGATATGTTAAAAAAATAATATTTTCTGAAAACAAACACCAGATATGGACAGGTTTAATTTAACTTTCATACCATTTGAAAAAAAAAGTTTCAGGCTGCCACACAGTGCAATCAAATGTTTCCACTGTATTTTAAAATGTCCCTAAAATGGTGACATTATAATTTATTTTGTTCCTTGGGACAAAGGCAAATATGCCTACTTATTCACATTAGTTACTCTATCCTACTGACCAAAGTGTATGGATCATCCTCTATAAAGGCATTCAAACTGTAGTACTCTTTGTGTGGTCATTTAATGCCTAGCTGGTGTATCACACAAGATATATTTCATTTTACCTACACAAGAGGCCAATTTCCGAATGAGAATCAGATGAGATGCATTTCATGTGCCTACAAGAGAAGCCAATTTCCGCTGAGCTGGACATTTTTCTTTTGCCAGGATCGACTGTTGTACTTATAGGATATATGTGACACTGTTTACAATAGTGAACAGAACAACACTGGCAACATAACCACAGTCGGCCGTGAGAAAGTAGGTCGCTAACGGGTGTTCCCATTGTGCCCTTTCTGTCCTACTAGTGGCACCTTGTAGGCAGCGACGGGACACAAAGACAGGTACATTCTTTCAACCACGGCTGTACAATAAACTACTGCTCAGGTGACACTGGGGATACCTTCAGTCCAAACACATTCCTGCCATTGCAATGTACATACCCAGGACTCGAAATACCACCTGCACATGCAGGGTAGTGGAGGCAAAATTGCTATGCATGTATTTCTTATGTCTACCCGCACCTTACCTGCACTGGTCCATTTACCAGGGGTACTAGGCATATAAAGTGTTTGACAGTAATCCAGAGTGATTCATATTTCATAAATGGCTGGTGCAGGTAAAATCTGTTTGGCTCAGGTAATTTTGGATGTTACCTGCTCTGGAGCAGGCATGCGGGAAAGTGTATTTTAAGCCCTGATACCTGATACACTATTCCCGTTGGCGATCTTCACAGACAGGTTCTCAAAAGATTCCTAAGTCACTTGGGGTAAAATTTTAGGCAACATTACATCAATGTGAAAGAAAACTTGCCCGTTCTTGTTCGAAACAACTGCTGTCATGACATGTTTACTCTCACCAATTTAGATACAACACATTCACATGACCGGGTAT